GCGCCGCTCCGGGGTGGAGAACGGCAACGCGGCGGCCCCTCACGGAACCTCCCGCCTGCGGAGGAGAACGACGGGACGCGGAGATTGTGCGTGTTCGTCAGGCGAAAATACAACCCCCCCTCGGCTGAAAAACGCCACCAGACTCATCCTGGGTGTTCAGCACATACAAACTCATGGCTCTGCTACACTACCCACTCACAAAACTTGCCTTTGTGAGACAAATTTGCTCCAAAAACTCCTTTCCCCGATCAGGGAAGTTCTGCAGACTGTTAAAAAAAGTGTCAAAAATACTCAAAATGGGTCTCAATTCAACTATAAAATTTTAATGACTGTGCTCCTGTTTACTAAATATTCGAAACCAAAAAATAGCAAGTACTACATATGCTCTTTTTAAACAATAAATAAGCATATTTTTTTTCAAACAAGAATTAAATACAAACTTTACACATCCCAAGTACAATGTACAACCTGTTTCAAAAAGGACCCACTGATGACAAACTGTAAAGCGGTATTACCAACGGCAGAGAAGCTCTCCTCTAGGAACAGGGACGCTGCTGACGGCAGCTTCTGCAGGTCCCGCCGTCGGCTGACTGCTTTTTCCTACTTGGAGCAGACACCCGGCCCCACCGGCTGGGTGGAGCGAGGAGTGTCTGGCGGAATCCGTCAGATTCGGTGGTGTCAGCACATCAGCGACTTTCTTCAAGACTGACACGTGTGGATCTTCCAAAGATACGGGGCTGAACTAATTCTATCTTTTCAGAAAGGCTGAAGCGATAAGGCTGGGGTAAGATTTTCAACTTGCTTAGCTGTATTTTATCCAACTGAAAACACTGCGTACCATCCGTCGCCCTCAAGAAAAGAACAAGTCGTATGGACCGTCTCGTTAAGACCACAACAGCAGAAGTTAACAAACAGATACAAACAGTTTTACTGGTTTTCTCTAACGCAGAAAACAAAAGAGACTTCCCCTGAAAAGGATTTCTTGGTTCTCAAACTTCACTCCGAAACTCAGCTTAACATACAGCTGTCCTGTAGCAGCAGTCAAGGTCACTAACAAAAGGCTCTGCTCGCGCGCTGTAAGTAAACCACTGCTGGGCACTTTCGTGGCTGGAGTTCATGTGGCCGTTAGCTGGCCCTGTCTTTCCGTTTCAGCTTTCCGCTCTTGCCGGTGGTTCACTGCAGCCCAGAAGGTTATTTTTTTCAGCACCTGCTGCAAAAGTTTGGATGGCAAGCACGGTATTTGATTCTTCAGGAGAGCTGCATTTTTACCAATGCAGTCCAGACACAACCTGAAGGAGCAAAGGAGAGGGGGAGAAGAAAACAAAGAGGTTTAAGTGAACGGTCTGTCACCTCCTGGCCTGTGAGTAAAAGCACAGTGCCGTACCGATTCACACTGAAGTCTCTGCAACCTCAACTCACCTGAGGAGTGAGTAAGGCTGAGTCTGGAATATCAACAGATCACTGCAGTGGCCCTGATCAACAGAAAAAAAGAACCATTAAAGTGACAAACAGCTAATCTCGGGAATACTGCTGCTTCCTACATCAACGTAACATTTACAACCCCATGCCTAACTTCAAACGGAGACTACACGGGCAGGGAGTGACAGGACAAGGGGTAACGGGTTGAAATTGAAAGTGGGGAGGTTTAGATTAGATATCAGGAAGAAATTCTTCCCAGAGAGGGTGGGGAGGCACTGGAACAGGTTGCCCAGAGAAGCTGTGGATGCCCCATCCCTGCAAGTGTCCAAGGCCAGGCTGGATGAGGCTTGGAGCAACCTGGTCTGGTGGAAGGTGTCCCTGCCCATGGCAGGGGGGTTGGAATTGGATGGGCTTTAAGGTCCCTCCCAACCCAAACCAGTCTGTGATTCAATAATTATAAAGAATCTGAATAACAAATTCCTGTTTATGAGCCTACCAAGGAAAAAACCTTCCTAAATTCTTCCCAAGAACACTCAAGGTCACGTCTCATAACAGCGTGTGTTATGAACGAACCCTGTAACATCAGCAACTGTATTAACTTTTATTTCAGTTTTAATTATTACAGAGTTAAGATCTCTTTATTCAGTTTACTGACTGTGTCCATGAAATGCAGGTCATCTTTGCTTCCACCAAACACCATCACTTCTCCTTCTTTTCCAAGGCAAGCTGTATGCCACAATCTAGGAATAAAATTACAGAGTCAGCGACCAAGCAACAAGCAGCAGTCGTCTGTTATCAAGCAAAACAAATGTAAAAACTCAACGCTTTGAAGGGTTTCAGAGAAGCAATGAGCTCACTTGCATGCTGAGCTCCTCGCCCCAGTCAGTCTCCTCCATTCTTTACATTCAAGTTTCTTTTCACGAGACTCTTAAGGACAGTTCTTTTTAACTAAAATGGCAGGGTCACTTCCCTAATCCTGTGATTCCAATCCTCCTGCACAGAGCTCTGTTGTCTCACTGGCCTTGCTACTTGTCCAGAAGAATTTTACAGTTTTCAACCGTGTATTTTACAAGCTGCCCCTGTGAGCTGCAGAAACCACAAAGCCTGTGCAACGCCAACTTGTGCCTGCAGGCAGCCCGTCTGTGCTGAGGGCAGAACGGAGAACAAGCACCGAGCGGCCACGGGAGTGAAGCCGTTACGAGAGTCTCCCTTCTGTCCGGCCACTGATCTGCACAGAGTATGTTGGGACTTAGGATCTCTGAGCTTCCTGTTTTTCTCCTCAAATATTAGTGAAACGGAGCAATCGATTCATCATGCACATGGGAAGGAGAGGCAGCCATGCATGCACAGAGCACGGTAACGGAACCCTTACTTCTTAGAAAACCAAGACAAAGACATTATTTTAAAAGTCTTCAGAGGTAAAAAAATACCTTAAAATATATTACTAATTTCTTTAACACCACCAAAGGAGAGAGCAATGTGACTATCCACCTCATGAGAATCTTGCTGGATGATTACAATTCATGCAGACTAATGTATTTTCGTCATTATTTGACTCCTCTTTACTTCAGTTATATATACTTGGTCTTACTTATTTCCCTTCCACAAAACGTTACAGTGGAAAAAGTTTTAGAAAACAAAATAACTACAAAACCCAAGCTTTTGCCAAGAACAACTTTTCTTTCCCCTTTTATGTTCTTTGTAAATTTTCCACTGTTTAATCCATAACTACAATTCTAATGGCTTGAGGATTGTGGGGTTTTCAGGACTCCGATCCCCGACCACTAGGATGAAAGCTTCAGAACACAAGGTATCCCGTTCCAGTTTTATGCTTCCCCCAGAGATTCCTGGGGATCACCTTCTGCCTGTCAGTTACATCACACCCAGGAGGAAGTTTTGTGTTGTGCACAGGGTATAAACCAAAACCCGACCTGTACGATCTTGCTTTAACAAAGATGCTGCTACTTCAGGAGCTGCACCTCGCTAGATTGACTTTTCCTCCTTAGCAGATCAAAATCTGTGATTTTTCTACTGGTGTATCACCACTGAAGCAAGTATCACCACAGAGCTCTGGCCCTTTAAAGCTGCTTAACCAAAATAACATGCACCACTGGAACTTTCAAGCAAAAGTAAACATTCTCCATTTCTTACTCCATTCATATCAGTAACAAGCTGTCTCCCACCTTTTCTTCTCCTCATACCTGTGCATAGATCTGTCTCTGCCTTATGTGCACTACGAAAACTCTGGCCTGGACTTCATCACCAAAGGACACTGGGAAGCCTTTCCTGCCTTGACTCTGTGGACATCCTAGCTTGCACCCTGGCGCTCTTTCTACAGACTGAGTTCATATCCTCTCACAGCTGCTCTAACTTATCACCTGAACATTCTAACAGAGCATGTTATTTAAATTATACAGATGCTGCATCGATGTAACCTTTTTACACGGCTCTTCAAACTGGAATAACAGGATTACATAGCAATGAAAGCACTGGGAAATTACACGTACAAACTGCTCTCTGTTTTAACCTGGTGTGCAAAATGTTAGCCCAAGTACAACCGATGGACAGAAAGAAGAACGGTATTTTCTACCAATACAGAACCACAGATCTATAACCTGGGGGACAATTTTTTTTAGAAACTACTAAAAAATGAAGGTTGAAGGAAATTATTCTTTACAGAGTTTAAGGAGGGAATCAATTTTGCAGAAGCATCAGGAGAATACACTAATGCAGGTGCGACATACCGTGTGTTAGTATAACATTACAGAAATACATAAAAGCAGGACATACATGTGTATTATTGCCTGTGCATTTAAAGTCCTGCTGTAAAGTCACAGGAGCGACAGAACTGGCCTAACCCTTTCTCAGCTGCAAAGATCCTGTGGAAGAGCAGGGATACCATTACGGTATAGGAAAGCTCTTCACACTCAAACTAGTTCGATATATAGACAGCCTTTTGGTACAGCTCCCTTTATCCATGTTTCCAGGACTTCCAGGCTATTGAAATATCTCTTTTCTTAAAGGGGGGAGGTAATTTGCTTCAATAAATTACCTACCGCCACCTCAGACACAAATGTTACTCCAGCTCAGTTGCTGAGCAGAGGCTGAGCTGCAGCTCCTTGGGCTGCTGCCTGTAGAAAAAGCACATTCTGTCCCTTCCTGATCCTTTTTCATGATGCACCAGCAACAAATAATGACACAAGGCGATGCAATCCACTTCAGCAGTTAACTACTATGGGACCATCCACGTAAAGAGCTGAACACAGACATGCTCCTTGACTGCTAGTGATGTGCTTTGTTATTTAAGGCAGTCATCAGTCAGTTCACTAATTGTAAAAACACAGAAAATATTCTCTGAAGCTAAGGTATAAGTTTATTTGGGCTTGAAAGAGTTTGAAATAAAGAAAGCAGAAAATTTGGTCTAACAGTGCTGTTAGATTTAAAAGATGCCCTAGAAGAGGACAAAACAGGAAGAAAATCAATTGAGGTAAAGATATTTCAGAATAGAAAACAGAATATAAGGCAGGAAGCATGCAAATGCCAGGCCACATTCACACACTATGCTAAAAGAATGATATAAAACTGTGGTGAGAGTACCTGGGTGAACGTATAGAATGAGTTCCATGAAAAACTGCATATTTACTCTCTACAGCCAATCAATTCAATGGTATTTGTGGATGTTGTGGATTCTCCGTCCCTGGAAGTGTTCAAGACCAGGAGCAACCTGGTCTAGTGAAAGGTGTCCCTGCCCATGGCAGGGGGTGGGGGGGGATGGGATGATCTTTAAGGTCCCTTCCAACCCAAACCATGCTGAGATTCTGTGTATATTATAAATACAGAGAATGCTTCAAACAGTGTTAAAAAACAAGTCTGTGCTCTGCTACAGCAACCACCTGTTTTCACTGGTAGCTTTTGATTCAAACATGAAACTTGCTTTCTTTAGTCCAAAAGACTATCTTTTTCTGTAGTCTTAAACTAGAGAAGGAAGGGGAACAGAGTCTGGCAGAGACAGTATTGTTGCCAGCACAAACAATACACACTCTAGAACCAGGTCCTTCTTGGATGGCAGTTAAGGCCTCGAAAGAACAAAACTCCAGTGTCCTTTAGTTGTGCTGGTTAGTACTAAATTCAGTTTTGCTAAACTGTAATCATAATTAGCTGCCTCTGCTCAGGGAAAAAAACCCAACCAAACAAGGCATTTTATAATACTTTTGAACCCTGAAAGGCGTGTCAACATTTTCATGCTTGTCTCCCCCAGGTTTCTAATAATGCACAAACTCTGAACAACTTTTGTTACTGTCATAGGTTATTAATTCCCCAAAAGTTACGTGATACACATTTTCTTATATAAAAATAATTTGGCTATAGAACACCAGGTTAGTTGGAAACCCAGATCCTTCGTCACAAAAACACTTTTAAGGCAAGTAAGCATCAACTGTAACACTTACATAAAGTAATAGTGCTGCACCTGGTCTGAAGGAATGTAAGTTAGTAAAGCAAACTGTTCAGTCATACTGCACTGATTTTCTAAAATAGTCTTATCATTTAATTTAAACATACTGTTCAATAATTTAAACCGCAACACTTAAATTTCAGCTAACATTATCTATTTCCATGTACCTAGGCCTACTCTTAGGCAAATGGGTAAGTTGTTTCCATCCGTTTGTCATAATGTTGTGAATCCAGCCATCGCCTACAATACAAGAACATGCATTAGTACTTTTTCTCGGGACAAAGTATGACCTTTTGATTTATACAAAAAGCTCTGTGTTCTAAGGGCGCATTATACTAAGGTAACAGTAACACCATCACCACATTAACTTGCACCTTTTCGGTCTCTGTAACTTAACTATTCTGCCACAGAAAACTCACTGCATTGACATCTGGAATTAAAATACTTCCTTTCTTTTGGATAAATTGAGAAAATCCCCCCTCCCAGTGGAATGTATCTGTGACAAAACTATTTTCACTGATTTCCCATTTTTTCCATGAAAAGAAGTTGCCCTTTCCAGAAAAGGAACTCAGCGTAGGACTACCCTACTTCCTGTCTAACATCTTGTGATTTGTTATTAATCCAAAAAATCTACATTCTGTTGACATTATCTTCTTCCTGCAATCGCTACTGATATCAGAAGTTACCCCTTGTTCACACTGAAATGCGTGAGACTCTCGCCTTTGTTCTTTCAGATGACAGACAGCTTGATGAAAGATTTATTATCCTACATTCTCACTGTACTACACAGTGTGCTCCTGCACTTCTATAAAAATAATAAGATAGGGAGAGAAATACTCAAGTGCCATGAAAATTCAGTAACGAGATTTAGGTCTAAGTAGTTTTAGAAAGACAACAAACGTGCACAAGGTCAGTACTGAGGTGTACAATAGAACTGTAAGTTCTAAATTACTTACTTAAAGGAACATTATCGGAACTTAGTCCACCAAAAAGAAAGAGTCTGTCATCTCCTATCGGAGTCAACGTGTGCCAGGATCGATCTTTTGGTTTCTCTCCACTGATATTAATTCTTGGTGAAACAAACAAACAAACAGATTTTCAAAGAATGCTAAAAACTAACCTGTCAGAAAATGCAACAGTTAATTCAGTTCATCCTAGACCAAGCTTGGCTATTTTCCCAGTGAACAAGCTGCACTTACGCAATCTAAATTTTCTTTTCAGAAGAGCATGTTCAAACCTAAACAAAGTAATTTCTTGCAGTAACTGAACCAGCGGTCATGTAAATATCAAACGCAACGATAAAGGCACTGATTGTTACTTGTTTTCTTAAGATCACTGAAGCTGCTGCTGGAGTAGGAGTGGAGCACTTGGGACAGCAAAGGATGAACAATAATATCCAAGCGAACTGCACAGTACAGGCAGGCAAAATACACCTGGTCATTCGAGATAAAATGTAATGAATCCCATGGGGCTGCGGTCTCTCTACCCCTGGAAAATGATCTTAAATTGTAAAAGGATTGTGGCTTTACCTTTTACCCAAAACCTCTCCAACCACTGTGCCTTTTAACACAAGCGGTGGGTTACCCGAACTTTGAGCTCAGTTTTAGTAAAAAGTAGAATTCCTAGGTACAACACAGATGCAGGTTTAGTTTTCAAAAGATCTGCTCATGTTACAACAAGAGGTATTTGATACTGATCTCATCGTAGCTGCACAGTTAGGTATGCCTGGGCTGAGCATCTCAACAGTAAAGAACCTGAACACAAGGGACTACCTGCAGTGGGCAGCCTCAATTTACACCTCCTTAGTTTAGGTGTACAGTCGTCTCAGGAGGATCCCAACAGTCAGCAGAGAGGAGTAAGGACCTCAGAGGGCATCAGCCCACCCGGTATCCTGATACTAAGCAGAGACAACTTCTGGTTTGTGAAAAGCACAACTCCCGATTTATTTTAGATGTCTACCTTAGCAGCAGTTGTCTCGTGCCCAAGAAGTGCCTGCTTCTCTTAACTGAGCACAGGGGAAGCCTAGGGTGAGTGATACCGGCATCTGCAGCTCAGCTAGAGGGATTTCACTAACCCTAACTGCTAAGCACTCCTCCATCTGGAGGCAAAGACTGAAGAATCACAGCTAATTAAACAGTGATCGCAAAACCGTCCCACTAAATCTGGCACTGAAGTTGAAGGCAAGTCACAGCGTCTGAGTGCCTGCTTTGCACAACGCTTGTGTAACATGCTTCTAAAACTGGCAAAAGATACAGACTGCTGTGAGATCCAACAGACTGATGTTCAGAAAAACATGAACCCAGAAAGTAATGGGTGATAACGTTTCAATCTTTCACGCTACTGATAGAAAAAATTATCACAGTAACAGAAATCACGTAAAATTAAACATTTTGAATAACTTCTCGGTAGTGGCAACTACAATAGATATCACAATCTCATGCTGGAAGATATTCCTGGATTAACAGGTTCATATTATGCAATTCCTTAAGGAACCTGCAGAGAGCTGAAGAATAAAGAAAACCTGACATGACTGGCTAATGAAAAAGCGTGGGGCTTTAAATAAAAACACGACTGCCTTTGGAATTTTTGTTAGGAGATGATGCCCAGGAAGTGAATTTGACTGTGGGGCTGTACAAACCAAGCCCCCCTCGCTGGGAGACCTGTACTTTAGAGAACTTCAAACACCAGCAGTCAGCTTGCCTTGGTCAGCAGCGTTCTGACAGCCAACCCTTTTAATCTGGGTCAAGTCTCCGAGTCTCACTTGGTGTTAACTCACACGGCAACCAAAGACAACCTCTCTGCAGCTGAGAGCATTCTGTTATTAAGATCAGAAAGGTTGGATCCTAACCAATTTTTAATTCACCATCAGATCAGAGGTTTCAGTAGAAAGGAATTTGAAGCTCTAGCATAGGAAAGGTTCGGTTCTTGCAATGCCTAGAGGAGAAAATACACTGACAGCAAAAATGCCTGAAGGAATTTCCCCACCGGTAAATACTGGAATGACTCTGGGGCGTTTTAGAGGGAGTTTTCAGCTGACAATTGATTGTCTGATTAGAACTGTTCAGAACTACTGCTGATACTCAAAGGAGATCGTGTGATTTTCTTTACTTCACACATAACTTTATCGCTCTCAGCAAGCACTTCTTCGCTACAAAAGTTTCAGATGTGACCAAAGAGGAGAGGAGAAAAACCAGCCTGTTTATCTACTTTGCTCTATTTTACAGTGTTGGTGTGTAGAATCATGGGACTTCTGGGACCAAGTTCTTTATACTGAAGAGATGATCCCTACAAATGCCCAACTTCTGTTACAGCCACCGCTGCTTATTTTATGAAAGGAAGCGTGTAGCCAGAAATCATTTTCCAAACAATTTGTGCAAAAATAGACTGCAAACTGGAGTCAAAAATGTAAATACCAACTGGGTACTGTCTTGAAAGATACAACTTTAGTGAGGAAAGAACAGCTCTCAGGCCTGTGAAGCTTTCTATAAAACCAGCCTTTGATTAGTTACTTCTGTCAGCTTGAATAAATATCAACATTTCACCTGCCGTGAGGTGCCACCTGACATTCTGCAAAGACTCTTTTTCTCTCTAACCTCTCAAACCTCTTTTTTAAGTCTCTCTTAAATCTCTTTCTTCAGTCCCTCAAAGACTCTTTGCAGAGGTGCTATAGGAATGGCTGGTTGGTTTATAACGATCAACCTAAATCACCTGAGATATTCTTGGATCACAGTCTAGAGACAATTGAGTATTGGAACAATCTTCAGTTTTTAGGGATGGCTGCGTTCAGTATTACCATCCCTGGTCTAAGGATACGTGTGTGTAGGCAAAATCAGCCTGTTGTATTCAGGCTCAGAACAGAAAACACTTCAGAACCGTCAGTATTAGCTTCCAAATGCCAAACAAAAGGGAACACTGGCTGAGAAGGACTTGGAACTTTTGACACTGACACCCCTCCTTCAAGGCTTGAAATCCCTCTCATTGACTTGTCACTTAACTGTCACAGGTTTCCTTTTCTGAAGCAATAAAAAGCAATCGAAACAGCAACTGCTCACGCAACAACAACAAGAGGTAAGCAGTAAAAGCAGTAGTTTGAGTAGTCAATCCGCTCAGAGGTAAAGTTCACAGCCTAAGAGGGACAATGCCATCGTTTAAGTAGAAGACCATTCATTTTGGAACAGCTAGCAAAGTAGAAAGGGGACTAATCTGAGTAACTAATCCTAAGTGCTAATTAAAGAAATCTTCAGAGAGAGGGTTTTTTGAAGGACACTGTGGGACTTTTTGTCCCGCTGCCATTAGCAAGGAGGAATGGATGGATGACTCCGTCTACTCTCTCGCTTTGCTCAGGGCTCAGAGGACAGAGGACCACACAGTGCAGGGTCGGGATCAGATCAGCAGTCACAGGTAATTAAAGATGCCCATCATAGGTGTGTGAAGTACACAATGCCCTGGAGCAGGATCACTACTGACACATGCTCAGGGAAGGTGTATTTCATGGTCTTCTTATGAAATCACTGTTAGATTACCTTGAGAACAGATCTGTGGTTATTACCCACCAGTTACTCTTTATCTCCTGGTTTGTCTACCAGCTAACAATAGATCCACTGATTTTACACATCTTAGGCACTATTACAAACACTATATGCAAACAAACATATCTTAGAAAGTACACCAATACCTGATTTAGTTTAAAATTGAAATATTTAGGATATGCTTTTATTTGACTTTAAAAAAAATTGGTAAGATGCGTATCTTGGAGAGGGGGCAGATCTTTCCCAAATCTGTTCCATAATGAGCCAGACAGTAAAAATAGTATAAAAGACGACATCGAAACTAAAATTCCATATGGATAAATGTAACCATCTTGAAAACTAGGATGTTAAATCACTGCATGCTGTGCTTACAACAGCATCATCAACGCTTTGGTGTGGAACAGAAAAAGCTTAGTAACCACTATCAAATCAGATCAAATTAAATTAAATTGCAATCACAACGTAACAGCTGTTAAAATAGTCCCCGAACTCCCATTCTCCTCTTGGAAAAGCTACAAAATTAGCACTGGAACTGTTTAACAATATGCTTCAATCTGCCACATTCAACTTTAAGCGTCATAGAGGGAAAAACCTACCTTCCAGACCAAGTCCATGTGTCTAAATTCAGGCAGTGCAAATCATTCATTCTCGTTTGCTAAAACAAAGAAATAAAATCCCAGCTGTGTTATATTAAGCAAACACTGAGCAAAGTATTTCAGCAAGGCCTTCCCAGGACAGAATATTCCAAGTAACAGTATTTTGAAGAAAACTGTACCCACCCTTAAGCTATATTGTGTGGAAGGTGAAAAGCATTTCTTCTCAAAAAAAAACACGTACCTCTCAGAAAACTACCTGTCAGGAACGTTTACAGTAGTGCAACAGCAGTATGGGGCCAATTTTAGCTTTTATTGGCAGATTAATAGTGAAAAACGATGCGATATTCAGTTCCTGCAAATTTATCTGGTTTTCATCCATAGAATTCATGGTAGGTAATTGCAGAAGGTATAAAAGTCTACATACAGCCTCCTCTCCTTATTTTTCCTTGCATTCTGATCAGAACGGTACATCCTCTTGCCTCATCCCTTATTCCTTGAAATATTCTAGTAGGTACTGTACGGAGTACATGACACCCCACAAAGTTCATCACATCTGTGGTTTTTCTCTTTCCCAGAAGGCAAGCCCTTTCACAGTTACTACTAGCAACAACAAGGTTTTATAACCCTTTAGTATTTGCCATAAAAATAATAAAATGTGTGGATAAGAGCAATGGGAAATCAATACACTGGCCTATTTGCCTGTGCTGTGAGATGAAGAAAGTAATGGCCTTAGAAACACAAGGGGGAGAATATAAGAAAGAATGTCTTTGCTTTAGATTGTAGCAGTATTTGCAACGGCTCGCGAGACACCTGGCTGGTGTTTGCCATTCCCCTAGGTACTACAAAACAGTATCTGAGAAGTAGGGAAATACAACTTACCTTACCTTACAATTTCTGTTCTCCTAGGGTAATCCATAGATCTATTGGAAAAAGCCTTTCTCCAGCCTGCAGATCCTTTGAGGCAGAAACTAGACTTGTCATTTAAGTCAGAATAGGAGCGGTTTTACCCCTGAGAGCTCAGCCAGTGAATGAGTTTGACAGACTTCCAAAGCTGCCCATCAGAGCGATGGAAAGTCTCCCAGGGTATTTCAGGGAAGAGCAAGGTTTTCAGGACAGCTATGGCCTACTCTGACCAAGTACATGCAAGCCCTTCCCTGTCCTAGGGAAGAGAACATTAACTAGCAGTCTGAACGCCTGCCGGGAGGCCACTAGGCTAAAGAAAAGCAGAATGTGAGGGCCTTTGGGCATTGCCTGAGGAATTGTATCACTCACTGCAAGAGGGTGAAAATAACAATGAAGTGTGGTCCAACTGACAGCTAGCGAACAGATAGGTCTTCCACGACACACCTACTCAGTTTCCTGCACCTTCCGGTGGCTTTGAAGGAGGTGACGAAGGAATTATACAAGCAGAAAGCAAAATGCAATTACTGGGTATCTTCTGCTGTTCCTGCACGCAGCCAGACACTTGGGGGTAGGGCAAGGAAAAAGCAACATCCTGGCCTCTAGAACTAAAAATATTTAATCATCTTGGAATGACATGGCTCGATACAGAGGGTATCTATTAAAGAAAGGGAAGAAAGTTGCTGTTACGTTGGAAAGTAAGGTTTCAAGAAGATCCTGTTCAAGACCTCCTCGCTGACTTTCCTTCCCTAGGCATTAGGCAGAAGATGGAGTAGGTTTCAGTTTCTTGGTCCCTGGGAAATCAATGCATTATAATCTTTACATTCTCATGATTCAACAGATCGACAGATGCATAATTACATCAGCCTCATTTTGAATGCAAAACACAGCATCAGTCGGACATCTATGCCTAAGATGCAGTCCTTCAACACAGCTTTAACAAATGAAAATGCCTTTCTGTCTGACCCTTATTTGGGAAACAGTAAAACACACAGGTTATAGTATCATCACTTGCCATACCCAAAGTTTTCTTGCAGGTTTTCATGTATTTCTAAATCCTACCTAGCATATTTAATCATTTAGCTGATAATCCCAAGACAATTCTTATCTGGCTTAAAAGCATCAAGCCTCATAAGAGGGTCTGCTTTTCCCTTTGAGCCACGAGGACACCTCAGACAACCTACTTCTCTACGGCATGTTCATTTATTTGCAGCCCGGTAAACATTAACCAGGATCTGCTTTGTCTCAGGATTAGCTTTCTAGCATGATGAAAGGCATTACAGGTGACATATTTACAGCTCAGCACGGTTACAGGAAACCGTGCAGCTCTCCATTCAGAGATTTGCAATCAAGCAGCTATTACAGCTCGAAGCTTTGTAAGAGAAGGATTGCAGTTCAATGCATCTTCTGATCTTCACTGGCAGGAAGGGTAACAGGAAATATAAACATGCATATATTAAGGCACCAGATGTGTGAAGAGCTGCTGGAAAGACTTGGGTTTATTACTTCATCATTCTTTACATGAAAATTTTCCACTTAAATCAAACACGAGCCTTGCATCAACTTCTGGACTAACGCTCCTTCCTTCCCACTTTCTCCCATTTCTGGGTTTGGTTTTTTATTTGTCACGGGGCTTACCTGGAGGAACAGAGTCCACATAATACGTCTGAGCCTGTTTTCAAATGATTCCTGGTACAATTGATTTTGATCATCATCATCTTCTTTTACCAGTTCTAGCTCCAAGTTTGGAAAAAGGTGCCCTTTCCTCCCAGAAAGATGAATAGGAGAAGCCTCATGACACTTCCTGGCCCTTTCTGGTTCCTTGTAGAGCCTTTTCCCTGGGAAGATTTGTATTATGGTGAACTAGAAGGAGAAGGAGGAGCAGAGCAACCCCGTATTTGCTCCTTAATTTATGGAGAAAAGCAAGACTTCATCCTCCGGGGAGGAGTTAATCCTCTTGTCAGGAAATGTAGTGTTTTTCTGATGTCTTTAGCATTCCTTTCCTGTTTCATGACTTATATTAAACCCTCAAGCCCCACTGAACGTTTCTTACCTTCCCACCCCCCTCCCCATTTATTTCTATGATAGGAAGCGGATCAATAATAATCAGTAAGGTGAAAATTTACACTTGCTGCTCTCCTACAAAACTGAATATAGCTTTCCAAAATTTCATTCTTCTCTGACATTGTTCCCAAGCGGTTTCACTGAAATTTAGCAAAGGGTTATTAAGAAAGCTGATGGCATCCAAGAGAAAAACCTTTTCAGATCAGAGCCTTCTCGTATTTCTCAATCCTGTAGTCAAACAGAAGCCAGAGGGCATGTCCTCTTAGAGCAGATCTAATCATGCAGCAGCACAGTGGAGAAATGACAGGTGAGCTCCAATTTACCAGTAATTTCATTTGCAGAGGCTGCGTGAGAACCCTAGCTTGAGCTACAAAGCAGTTCAGTTGCAAGGGGCACAGCGCAGTAACCCTAGCTAGCTTGGACACATCACTCTGCTCTTCTTTCTGGTGCGAAGATCTCCGCAGCACACAGAGATAGCCCTCACTAACAAAATGCCAGAGGGAGCAAGGCTTTGAAGGCTGAGAGCTGTTACAGAAATAAATGGTAGGCCAGAAGGTCCTGAGCTGCACGTTTACGTCTTCACATCTAGCTTTCTCTCACGTCTGCAGTCTTGCTGAATGAGGAGCAGGAATCAGTTCAGCTGTGGTTAGCAAGAGTTCGTTTATACAGCACACACAAAAGAGCAGGTCCATAGCAGAGGCACAGGGCTCACTTGTCCTGGCACGGCTAACCCTGACACAAGAGATTCAAGTAATACTAGGCACTTTTTCAATCGAATATCCCTTTTTTCTCTTAGTTATTTGCAAATCAAGCTTGTCCAAACCTACAGCTCTGGAAGCTACTGTGTGCAGCTCTCTGTCAGAGATGGGGCTTTAGCAACACCTCCAGAGACCGCGAGCCTGTATGAAAGGCCACATAACACCCAGTGCAGGATGTAAGAATAAACAGGATCAATTTTGGTTACTTTCTTTTCTGATTGCTCTGAGAAGGGACTTAGGTAAAAACTTTTCCTGCTGCTGCAGGAGTCAATTCAAACTGAAAAACTGGACACTGCGTGGCCGTTCTGAACCTGCCTGGATCTGTGTGTCTGGTTTCTGTCTGAGCAAGCAGGAGTAAGCCATGTTGTAACAGAACTGTAGACTTGCCCTGAGAAAAACACTGTGTGACAGCTTTTACAGCATGAGAAACAGGGTAGAGGGAACAAAGTGCAATTTTACACGGCTTTATTTGCAAGGCCTTGCGAATATAGGGTTTAGGTTATGGCAGCTTTCCAAGGTGAAGTTGGCATACGTTCACTGTAGGGCAATTCCAACCAGTTCATTCCTTCTCTTTCATATAACAGAACTATAGAAACACAGCAGGGCTTTCACAAGCTTCTTCACTGTTACGTTTCATAGTCGTAGAGATAGAAAGCATCAGGTCTCATTCTTTAGCTGAATATGATTAAAGGCTCTAAATTAGCTAAGTAAAAAGAGCTAAAAACTTAAATTAAAAAAAAATATGGAGTACACAGTAACTTAAACTAGGATTTTTTTTTTTTACTTGCCTTACAGAATCTTCTTCACGTTCCTGATAAACTCCAGCTCAGACAGACACCTTCAAAAACATTCTCTTCCCTATGCTTTTGCAGCAGAGCTGGTACACTTTCCAGCCCATAAAGAAACCATCCTTGCAAAAAATTTACGAACGAAGGGGGAGCCTGTGCTAGTTAAGTGTACCTACTATCATCCTTATTTTCAGATATAACACAGGAATATATTTTTTTGTGTTGGATTGCTGCCTCAGGCTTAAATTCTTACATTAATGCTTCAGCAGAGAAGAACTGAAGATAAAATCTCCTGAGTAGTACTAGAAAAATTAAGTGTGTTGCTGAGAGGCTTTAGTATCTCATTGCTTACTGGTGGTGGCTTCAAGTTTTTTTAGGTACAGACAACCAGGGGGATGATGCCTATGACTTTTTTAAGTTAAAACAACCTAGGAAGAATTAAGACTATACAGCAAGAATCTACCCTTGATTTAAATATGCACTGATTGCATCCTGTACACACAGCTCTTATGCTGCCTTTGACTATTACCTAAGGGACAGCAGATTTCAGATCCTCACACAGCATATTAAATGGTCATCTTGGATCAAGAAACCAAATACAAGCCTTAGTCTTGCAGTAAAGAGCTTCTATTGGATGCACAGAATAAAGCTGTTAACAGCAATCTCTATGGTGTGCTTCACATACTCAGTACCAAGGGCACAGGGCGTGCTAAAGGTAAAGGCTGAAACTGCAAAACTGACATTCAGAGAGCAGGAGAGGCTTAACAGGGCTGGAATGGCCTGTGCTATCAGGTAACGTGCTGCAGCATCCTGTACCAGCTTGAATGCACAGAGACTTTGTATCCTGGCATTACAATCAGAAGCTGCTCTTCCAGACATCTCTATTTCAGTCACTTACGTGCAAAAAATGACAGAAGTTATAAAGTCAACTGAAAACTGTTATTTCCTTCCATTCAGAACTACATCCTGCAACTGTAAATATAAAATACAGTATCCCAACAGCTATTCTGAACTTCACTTTCCCAGAAGGTGAGCATCAGGGTGTATGAGAGGCGTGTCTGCTAAGCTGCAGCAAGCACAGAAAGAATGCTAGCTAGCACCTCACCATTTATTTCAACCTGGTCTGTCATCAGGCTTGCTTTTGCTCCACTCCCCCAGAACCATCTCCACGAGGTTACACACACCTCAACCATTTTTGTTGATGTATAAACATTTGCGTTTACCATACAGCCATGGGTTTTTCCCCTTCTGGGACTATGTATGCTTCATCATTAATACTACAGGCAGACCCTTCTTTTTGTAAGGTAAAGGGAGATGAGAAGAAGCATCCTACATTCGACATCCTTAACATTCAAGTTAGGACGAAGACATTCTGGACTTTTTTTCTTCTAGAAAAATGATTTGCTATTAAAAAACAAACAAACAAACAAACAAACAACCCACAAACAAAGCAGCACAAAACTGTCAAAAAATAATATTACTGCCAATAAAATGTTTACTTAAACACTAACCAGCACTCGTCCTCCAAAGATGTAACCTTTATTTCCCAGCACAGCACAAGTGTGAGCGGCTCGAGGCTGAGGTGGATCTCCACCCTGAAAAGAACAGAAATAAGATCCTTCAGAACATCATCCAAGTGCCAGCCAAGGATATTGGCAAGTCAGTATCACAGAGATTGCAAAAGTAAGGGCAATATACATCAACACACTGACAGAACTGCAACTTGAAAAGGAAGTGAACTGTAGCCATGTCCAAGACCCCTCAGACATGAGGAGACACATGTATTTACCGAGCACAGCTTTAACTGAGTTCCCTCAGCAGCTAATGTTTGATACATGCCCTCTTCGTCTGATTTACCACTGCCTTGCTTAAATGAAATTCAACTAATTCCTCTCTAATTCCTAAGCATAAAATTACAGCAACACATCAGCTACTGTTGATATGTCGTGTAAGTGTGAACCACCAGGAACCAACACAAAATCCTCCAGAAATCCGATTTTAAAATTTTATGTCACATCCAATAGCCACGTGCCAAAAAATGTATTCCCTGTGTAAATCAGAAATAGAGATAGGAAAATTGGCTTTTACTTTTCAGTGGTCATTTACTTTTTGCATTTAGTTTTACAGGAATTTTAGAACATCCTATGAAGACCATAAAATAGCGTCAGACACTCATTATAATATACCGAGTTCTTACATAAACTCACCGGGATTGATAGTAACATGGTAGTGTTCTATAAACAGAAATGTGTGCATCACTGTTTTACTGGGAAAGTTAGTATAGCTGCTCCTTTGGAAAACTTTTACAGTAACGTATTTGCAGAAGAGTATCTGATATGTTTATTCTAACAATATAGCGTGACTGGAAGATACTTGTTGAAAAGATCTTCCCAAGGGAATACAGCAACTCTATGTACACAATGCTCAAAATAATGAGTGTATAACCCTCACATACTAAACGTATTTTCACTTCACTAATTAAAACTGAAGACCTAAACTAGCAATGCAGTGAGTTTACTCTCTCTCCCCTGCCTTCTTTAGGTCTGTGAAAGCTGAATCAAGAGAGACTACATTTCAAGGCCATTATTGCTCTTTCAGCTGGATATACTATCCTTCACACTGACCCATCAGCTTTATGGAAAAGGGGTGGCAGGGGAAGGAAGAAACTCCCAGACAGACCTTTATCTCTCACGTGGTCAACTCCTAGTTATCTGCAAAAGGTTACCCATGTTACCCTTTAACAGGTTACAGAGAAGCTGTGGATGCCCCATCCCCGGAGGTGTCCAAGGCCAGGCTGGATGAGGCCTGGAGCAACCTGGTCTAGTGGAAGGTGTCCCTGTCCATGGCAGGGGGTGGGACTGGATGTTCTTTAAGGTCCCTTCCAACCCAAACCAGTCTGTGATTCTATGTTGCAGATTAATTATACACAGATACAGTCAACCAAACGGCTTCAGATCAAAACAGTGCAGATAAAGGAGGTTCTGTTAACCTCAGTTCAGCACCATTAAAACCATGTATGCATTTCTACCACGCACTCCACGAAGACCTGTGTCTCGTTCCAGTTGCCCTGCCCTAGGAGTAGCACAGGATGAACAGAGCTGGCCTGGGCTAATGGCTGTGCTCCAACTGTGAAACTCTCCCAGACCCAAAGCCCCAGCAGCGCCTACGAGGGGACCCAAAGTGGGTACGGTCTCCATGCCGTGGGACCCAAGCTTGGTTTGTAAGGAGCCACCAACACACCTCCACACCCTGTTCCTCAGCACCACCCTGGATTCCTACAGTTTTCTGGAGTATTCCAGTGCCTCGTCTTTCCAGTTATGGAGCGCTGACAGTAATTTTATATTCCCAACAGCTGTCTGAAAGCTTGAATACAAAGCTTTCTCTCAAAACTATCCCCTAGATACAGAATACTGTATCATCTTCTAATGTATCCAGATTTTAACACCACTCTGAAGCTTACAATAATGTTTTGCAGCAGAACCACATTAAAAACACCAGTCTAGTAACATCTTGTGGGAAAAAAAATTCAAATCAGTTCTGAATTTTCCACATTTCAGATTCACTGAGTGTCCTCCTGTTAAACATTTCAAGCCTGAGCAATACTAAGCATATTCAAATTACTTTTCCCAACATCAATTTCTAGAGCACAATACCTATTCAAAACGCAGTAAAATCAGAAATGTGTCAAAAAACAGGACTAAAAAACACTCACCCTAATTGCTGGTTGAGACCAAGTCTGTGTGGTTGTATCAAAAACATGAACATCATTATGCCATCCCCAGAATATCTGTCCTTCCTAAAAAAGAAGTTAAAAAATCAGTTTATTCTGGTTTAAAATCTTTGTGCTTATTAAAGGATACAAACCCAGCAGTGAACTATCAGAACAGAAAATAAACTAAATACTAAATTTTATTAAAAGAAAGGTGTTAATATTTTTAACAATGCAGCAGCTCAGGTCTAGTTGAAAGTCAACAGCATGTGGGAATGTTAGGGCTGGTGACGCTTTTGGAAATGAGCTTTGGGCTCCAACATCAGTCACTGCAGTAGACAAATTCCACCTTCTAATTTGCAGTGTAACAGACTGAGAAATAGATTGTACAAAGTAATACATTTCTGTAAGTCAGTAGTGAACGTTTCGATGCAAGGCTCTATAGTCCCTTGAATGTGTACCTATTTCTTATTAATTCCTGTCACTATATGCTCTGATCAGTCTCCTCCTTTCTATTATCTGTAAGAAATCATTCTAGGAAACCAGCTAATCCAGGCATCTCAAAGTAACGGTGTTTACTCTGCCTAACAAATTAATTAACTGAGAGTACTTGTCAGTTAGACTTGGAAGCTATAAATTCCCTACTGTTACTTCAAAGGAAATTCTAACATTTTCTGGGAGTTTCCTATTTAAAATACATCTTTGGATTGAAAATATTGCTATTGTTCCTCTTTTGAGAGCATTTTGTTTCATTGCACTCAAAGGCTAACACTAGGTACTTGGAATATGGTGAACACCCACCGCTCCCAACACACAGTATCCAAAAATACCAATCTAAGTAGAAGATTCTAATTTGTGTTTCTGCCAATGCTATATAAACAAAAATCAGACAGGTTTTCATACATATTGACTATAGTATAAGAGATGGTGTTCTGACAATCAGAAAGGACAAATCTCTTACCCAAAACGCATCATGGACATCAAAACAATCACTCAGTTCATTATGCTTCCTACAGCCATAACCACCAAAATATATTAGCCTGAAAGAATAACAATGAAAAAGTAAGTTCATTTGGCCATTTGGTAAACAACACTCACATGAATAAGCTTGAATAATTAATTTCAAATTTTGGTTTACCTGCTGTGCTATTAATAAAAGAAATAAATTATGTCATATTGCACCTAATTACACTGAACACCTTACTGAGAAGGTAGCACTGTCACACTCCTCAACAAGCCTGACAAATTCACAGAAGCAAGGAGGACGGTCAAGATACCTCCGAGTCCCCGTTCTCCATTCCTCCATCCACAAGTTTCTTTATCACGTATTTTCAGACAGGAGTCTCAAAATGACACATAGACAGTGAAATGCCTTATGCTTCCGCTAGAATCCCTACCCTTTTCTACTGACGTTCCTACGCTCCTGCTGTATTTGTCAGCTGCCTGCATACACCTTTTCATACGAGCACTCCCGAGGTTCCGCACACAGACTGCCTGTGACCCACAATGTCTTTCGCCACCTTACAGAGAGGTTCTTTCAACTAAGCACTACTCAACATACGGCATTGCAAGTATTTTACACACCTCCCAGCCCAACATTCCACCCATGAAATGGCCATCCATAAGTAATGGTTCCTAAAGTTTTGTTTAACTTCAACATTTGAGGATATTTGGTATAGCTGTTAGTGATCTTGGGAGAAGGCAATTTAGGAAATGATGGGATGGTGAAGGTCATTCCAGACTGACATTCCTAGGGAAACAGAGTTACTGAAAGCATTGTGCAATACACCAAGACATCCCGAGCTGCAAACTCACATCTTGTGAAATTCTAAGGTGTACTTCTGAAAAGGTGCGTAGCTCGTCCTCAGGTACTTTTGTTAAATGAAACTGTTCCACTCTGCCACCTACACATTTTCTCAGCGTGCGGACTGCACGATACTCCAAAGAGATTAATTTAGTGCTGAATAGACTTGTAGGAACAGCTACATAGAAGTTGTTCAAATATACATAATTTCATGTGTCCTGAAGTTAAATTAGAATTACAAAGCCCAGATCTAGGACTGAGAGGCGTTACAGTTTATGCAAAACCTCCTTAGATCTGCAGCCCAGAAACAGATAAATCATTGACATTGTACAGTGTTCACTGCATACCATATTCTTGTTTACAGTCACTTTTAGAACCAACCACTGACACGTCACTTTGTGACCACAATAGCCAGACACTTCCCATAATAAACACAAAAACTGAAGAAATTATTTTTAGCTAAGTATTTCTTCTAAATACACTCAGTAAGTTTTACAACACAAATATCTAGGCTGACTTGGTTCTTAGAAAATACTCGCTGAAGTGCCTTTGCAACTGTCAGCATTTGTATGCTATTAAAATCCTTGAAAACAGATTAAATATATTTTATTGCAGGTAATAATTTCATGCTTACACACTGTAACAAAAAAATGTAATTTCTATACTGATATTTTAACCCATGTTAAACTTAACCATAAGTAACAGATACATAATGATGTTTATCTAAAGGCTCAAAGCATCCCAGAAACTTCCACTAAATTTCCCAACCCTCTCCTAAAGCGAGTTTATACTTACCACTAATTCAGCTCATACGTGAGAAAAGCCTGGTAGAAAGTTGTTAGGAGAGTTACACAAAATCCCACAGCAAGTCAAGCTAAGAATTAGTTTCATGAATCCCAAACCCGTGTTCTCTTCACTTTACAGAACTTCCTCTCTGGAATTAACACATATTAAATATTCTTAAGGTGTTACCTGTCCTTATACACCCAGCAGGAAAGCTTGTCACGTGGTGTAGGAGGTTGACCTTTAAAATTTGTAATTTTTTTCCACCTATAGGTTCCGTTTTTTGTTCGCAAATTAACATAATACAGCTTAAAAGAAAAAAATGACAGTATTTTCAGTATAAACGATGTCGAAGAAACCCGCACAAATCACCAACAAAAACAACCCACGACCCTCAGAAAGCACTTCTGCCCCTGAATAAACAGGGAACCGTGTGACATTTACAGTACATAGCAACATACAGAATAGTCCAATACGCTACGGAACACAAAGTGTGCGAGTTAGCAGCATGGCTGGTGGCTACATTTTAACCTTAATTATTACCTGATTATATAAGAAAGGTAATCATCAAAGAGCAAAAATAAAAGTGATATCCTGAGATCAGTTTCAATTATGGTTGGCAACATATTGGAAAAAAAAAGGTAATTGGGAAAGTACTGGCAGTGTTCAGAAATAAATACAGGCATTTGCACGTAATGGGTCTCATTCTGAAGCTATGATTCAGTGAAAAATCCCACAAAAATACAGGGAATTGAACATGAAAACAAAAATTCAAGTTTCTTCTAAGTTTAAAAGAATACTTTTTTGACAAAAGGAAACCTTTTCCTTATATTTCTCCTTAATTCAAATTCAAAGCACATGAAATATAACAGCAATTCATTCAAACACAGTATGTTATGGAAGAAAAGAATACAATACCCGATTACTGTATCCTTTATCATCAAATCCACCAAAAATGTACAGCTTCCCATTAATGCTTGCCCCACAGCTTCCTGACATGGAGGTGGGTAACTCTCCTTCCATTAGGTGCATAGTCCTGCAATTTAGCACATACATGAAGTCTTATACCACTGCTTTCAAACCTGCTAAAATGAACAGACCTAAACCAGATGTATTAGTAATTTTTATACATAAACCTAAAAACACAGTTGCGATGTTTTGGCCATAGCTAGCACTAGAATCTACAGCTGATACATGAAGTCAGGCTCCTGTGGTGTAACAGGACTTTCACGTGAATATTTGCACACGTTTATGAAGCACCTCAATTTCTCTGAAGGTGAAGCCCATATTAAAAGAGCATTGGTAGAGCTGAAGCATTCATTACGGAAAAACTGGAAAAACTATTAGCTCCAAAAACTCCTGAAATGTCAACATGGTATTGCTATTACTTTACAAATGGAAAACTGAGGCAGAAGTAGAAATAAAGGTCAGAAGTACTAATTTTGGTACCAAATATGCCACTACTATAACTGCATTTTGCACTGCATTGAGCGTAACAAAAAAATCTTCAGTGATGCCAATGTTAGTAGCAATGAGTTCTCTGCTCCTCAGCAGCAGTTCCTAGCCTTCTCCTTGCTAGTCTCACACACCGGTAACTCCATCCCACAACCTCAAACACCACACAGCTCATCTGAGGAAACTCAATTTCTGCCCAACTCCCGAGGCTGAGCATTAGGCCAAGACCGCACTCAGAATCATTACCCCACACTGCAAACTGCTTTCCTAGGATTTCAAATTTCTGCATCAGATAGGGACCCGCATTTCCCTCTCACAGGTACGCGCACGGAGGACACGTGAATGTTTAGGATTTCCACCTGTCACCACACCTTCAGTCTCTGCAGCTTTAGCAGCCAAATCCCAGTCCCTTTGTGCTGGCACTCAACTCCTTGTCCCAGGTTTGCTGCCGACATCTCAATTGCTCTCACCCCACAGTTTCTGACTGAAGCGTCCTTCCCCTGCCGTTCCCGCTCATTTTTCTCAGCTCTCCACCTGATCTGACTCTGTGCCTTCCAACTGGGTCCTCTAGCAGAGTCTCTCTCCTCAGTCACGGTCTCCCACCTTCAAAGCCTAATTCCACTTTTTCTTCTCTCTGCTAGGTCTAACATCACCACGCTTGTTGACCCATTCATTCCCTTCTTCGATACATCCGCATCTGGACCAGACATCTTCGTCTTCTATCACCGGTGGCTACACAGAAGAAAAGGATTCTTACAGCTTTGAGTTCTGACGGTTCACCTTAGCCCGACCTAAAAGAACTGGAGGCAGCCATTAAAAGGAAAAGCTTTTTATGCACTACATCACCAGGTGTGAACGATATGTGTGTGACCTGTCCCTACGGAAAACGGTGCTCACTAACAGCTGCTGGGGCACTGCTTCCGAAATACCTTTGTTCTGGCACCAGCACTGCCACAGGCAAGCCCACCTTCCCCTTCTCTGCTCTCGCTCTCCCAGTCCCGCTTGCTCCTGTGTCAGGCGGGACACTCAGCTATACGCGCACAACTGTTCCTGCTGCAAACTGAATGAGATCAAGAGTGGATCCAGGTTAAAAATAACTCTGAAAAAAGAAAAGTTATATTTAACCCAGATCTCTTTCCTGATCCAATTTCCCGCGTGACCATAGAAACAGCTGTACCAGTACAACCGATACGGAGATATCAGGGGTGAAAACCAAGAGACAGTATGAGGTTCTTTACCCAACCCTTTCACCAACAGAAACAACCAGCAAACCAGTCTCAGTGAGGGCACAACCTTAAAAAAGATGAGAACAGACTTACTAGAACTTCACAGCTAACCATATGCAAACTGCTGATTCAGAGTCAGTGACTTGGCCACACAGGTGTGGAACTTCATACGTACTGTAAGACACCTTCCCCATCTAGCCCTCCTCCCCTTCCCCTCAAACTGCTGCTTTGAACGTGGGTGTGCAAGAAATACATAAACAGGTGGGAGACGACAAAGCTGTCAGAAAACACATATAAGCCCAAATGGACACTACTTTACCTGATGGACTGCAATTATTGTCACAGGAACCACTGGAAAACTTTACAGAGGCATTGTTATCTCTCCCCTCATACGACATGTGAACACAATGAACATAAAATGTAAAGACTAAATTCTAGTGATGTGCGAGATCTGGTTAGTTACGAGTTACTTGTGTAAATACATACAGAACATAATTAAGTAGTAATAAAAAATAAGTAACTGTAAATAGATCAAGAACCCAGATATCCAGTGTTTGAATATTCTTTTTAATATAAAAGTTCATGTATGGAGAACTAAGGAAAAATAAATGCCCAAATAAAATGCACCTGTTTTAGCAACAGTGCCTTACGTTGACCATTTCTAACATTCTCTTGAAAATAACAATTCCACTTAAGGAATTCAAGTGTTTCCCAGAGTTAATCTGCAAGCACACACGTCTGTTCTTCAGCCTTTACATTACATTAAACATCTGCTACTTAAACTCCAGGGAACATGACCAATAACTTGTGTAACAGACATCTTTTCACCGCAGCTAACTGTAATCCATGCAAAGATCGACTTCATGTATTAATGAAATATAAATGATGCAACTTACCATAACCCGCTATCCATTTCATAGATCCAGAGCTCATCGTTAGGCAGATAAACTTCGTTTTCTTCAATTGACTGAAACAAAAAAAAATTTGCAAGTGTGAAATAAATTATGCATTATACACCACACGTTTTAAAACAAAACGCGAATCGTGTTACTTAGCAACACAGAACAGTCTTAAGGAGATGATCTACCAGAACATAAGTCATACCCCACCATTACTGCTCTGATCATTACAATTTTAAACCGGCAGCTCAACAGCATTTTACATTTTATACTCCAAGTTCAAAAAAAGATGTTTTTCATTGTCACGGAGCTTTGTGGATGTTAACAGCATCTTTCATCACTCATTTTAAGGTGTGAAGATTATAAGTTTGGTGTTATCACAGGTAGGGAGAGAAGTGTTTCGATATTCAAAAAGCAGTATGAATGTAATACAACAGCCAATTTGTAAAAACAGGAAAACAGCACAGGCAAACAACTTAGTCCTTGGGAAACACACACAACTGCTACTAACAATTAGCAGAACAAGACCATAAAATGACCACGGATTTAAAAAACCAAAGATCTTAGAAGAGACAGTCAAAGGTGTTTCCCTCCTCTATTAAAATGCCATTACTTAAGGAAGTATTTTTCAGTCAGAGAAATGACCACTGAGCACATTTTGATGTACTGTTAGCCTTCACACCTCCAAATACAGAATACAAAGACAAGCATCAAGGGTTTTCCTTCACCCTGAAGGATTTTTTCCTCATTCCACAACCTTTTTCTATCTTTTCCAGGAACTGAGACTTCGCCATGTTGGGTTGATGGGTAAAGAACCCAAAAACTCAGTAGAAAGTCAGAAAAAGTGCTTATTTTAGAAATTAACTTAATTCCTCAGCTATACTCATTAAAGACACAGGCTTACCAACTTAGCCATGTTGGGTTGATGGGTAAAGAACCCAAAAACTCAGTAGAAAGTCAGAAAAAGTGCTTATTTTAGAAATGAAGAACTTAATTCCTCAGCTCTACTCATTAAAGACACAGGCTTACCAACTTAGCATTATGCCAAGAAAGATGTGTAATAACATAAACCAGACCAGATTTGAAGCTCCTGCATTAAAACTCATTATCTTTTGTTCTGGGAGATACTTTTATTATGGGAAAAATTCTTGGCATAATGGAAAACTATAGATAAAAGTGTAACTGAAAAGCACAAAAAGAAAATTACTGCAACAACTGAAGGAAGGAACTTGAAAGAGCAAAATATCAAATATAAAAGAGCTTAACCTATGCCATAATATGGAGAAAATTAATTCCTCTGTGGAAAACAGATCTATGAAGCCTCCCAGTCAGAGGCCATGTAAGAAAGAAAAATATTGTGGGAAATAATGATGAGGAAGAATAACAAATAGGAGAAGGAAGCCCAAAAGAACGCAACTGCAGAACTCAGGCTGGGTAGCAATCACACCATTAATTATTGTCTCAGCATTAGAAAGAAATGAAAGACTGAGCAAATTAGCAGCCAGAGTCAGTAAATTAAAAAAAAAAAAATTCGAAGTAAAATTAATGTGAGTAAAATAAGTTAAATACAAAACTGAAATTTAATTAACAATTTATATATTGATTACTTGCCTTTAAATAATACCTTATTCCTGCCATCTCCATCTCAAAGGTGCTAACCAGGCATTACGGACTGTTTAGTACAGTTTAGCCTGCCAGGTACCTTTCACAAAGCAGGCTCTGCTGCTACCCGTAACCAGCAGCTTTCACAAAGCGCACGAGTCTACCCACCTTAATCTAGACATGTCAGTGGTCAGAGGCCAAGCATTTGCTACAGAACCAGCCCTGAGCAAATACAGTGCTGCCAAAAATAATTTGGCTCGGCATTAGTCCACAAACAACATGTAAAATATAAAATGATTCACCTGTGTAGAATGCTGCTTAAAAAGTAATTTTCATAATACCCTCCACAAATACAGAGAGCTGCTAAAAATGTCTGTCTCCTAACTTAACATACATTGTCTGTTTTGACTGTGCCATGAACCCAGGGTCCTTAATTAGGCAACCTCTAAAAACACAGCGCCAGCCAGTCCAGCTTTAGATTCTAACGACCAAAGCATAGAGAACTAGAGTATTTCCAGTGATTTAGGTCCTGAATATACTGAGTATTGTGGAGTTTAAGGCCAGTAAAGGACACTAAATCTTCCTGTAGACTTCCACAGGTGACTCACATTATTAAAACATATGCTTATTCTAAAGGTAGCTAACTTCCTGACACTACGAAATACATATTCAAACCCTTACATAACTAGCAGTCGCAAGAAACAGTACCTACCAAAGACCCCCAAGGGGAAGAAGAGTGGTGGGAACAGTTCCCACACTCCTGAGGGCTCCTTCATTTCATTACAGTTTGGCACTGGGCAAGCCTAGCCACGCAGCAGGCTAGAGAAGGTGGCCAGGGTAACCTAGGTGGTGAAACCCTGCTGCTTACCACAGCCGAGGGTTTGTATTTCAGTACGTAAAAATCTGTATTTTCAGTATTTCAGTAGTCAGCAGCAGCACAGCCCCTATTTCCTGCCGAATGAATCGAGCTCAGGAGCTAAGCAACTCTTCAAAATCCACAAGCTGCCCAGCACTACACCACCTAATGTTTTTAGTTAAAAAAATGACCAAACAACAGAACAAGCATCTGCTTTCCAGAAACTAAAGCACAACGTGCTTCAGAGCAGACAGCTAGCCAGTAGTACCCAAAAGGCCTAGAAACATCCTTCCCCCTGCTATTGCAACACACTCCTAACAAACAATCCATTTTAAAATTTATATCCAGGAGTCTCCCACTAGAATTCTCTGCTTGAGCACACAAGGCCTAGCTTTACATATCTGAAAGTTTACCTTAGCCAGTGAAAAATATATCGAGGAATACTGAATGTGTTAACAGAAACATGTTTTCAGTCTGATCAAGGCCAGGAATAACACCAAGCACAGCTACTTTTACACTTCAAGGCCGCCGTGTGCAGACACTGTGGATAAAATGAACTGGCTGTATTTAATGCAGTATTGTTCATAGTCCTCTCTAGGACTGAATTTATCCAGAGTGAAGAGTCACAAGGATTTCTGATGCCAGAACTGGTACTGATCTTCCAACGGGCAAAAAGCAAGTGCGTTTTTCGTCTGCCACCTGCTTGTTTTTGAAGTGACGGAACTGCTTTCTGAGGGATAAAATTGCACCGCACACAACATACAACTACTACTAAGTAAAAAATGCAGCGACTCAGGAACAGGAATACGAATTACGCACTAAAAAAACCCAACGACTAATTATAGCCGTCACCCCCCGAACAGCCAGGAACTGCGTGTCTGTTGGACAGGGAAGCAAACCGGCTCCACCAGCCCTTCCCCAGCACGTGCTCCGTGATGGAAGCAGCTGAAAAGGGAGCAGCAGGCAGTAATGGGCCGCAACCAAAGAGGAACAAAGAGATATGAAGGAAGAAGCACTTGGAGGAGCCCCCTTTCCCCTCAGAGCAGGCGCTGGCAGCACTCCCCAGACCCACCACGCGCC